AGGTTTGCTCTACCCTCCAGATATATCTGCATTTTTTCTTCATCTTTAAAAAGAAGCATCTTTAAAGCAAGTTCAGAAAACATAATTATGCATATTTTATTTGCAAGTTAATGGAGTCAACCACCAGGTTTTTACTGAGGCTTGATCTTACTATGCCTCAAACTTATGAGATTTCATTTCTGTTCTTAAAAGCTTTACCACAAACTTAGCTTAGTGTTTCAGAAACACCTTTCAAATGTTTTTAATTTTCATGGTCCTGATTTCAGATTTTGGAAACCTATTTAAGGGTGTGGAGACTCACTAGTTGGCCTAAAGTTCAGGAGGAAATAAAAGAACCCAGAATCATGAAAAGTAAAGAAGCAGGTGCTGGGACACACCAGCCTGAGGTCTCCAAATGTCACAGCCCAGCAGTGGGACTGGGTACAATGGTGCCAATACTCACTCAAGGAAACAGCACATCTGTTGTTGCTGGCAAATCTGACTCCTTCAACAAAATGGCCATTTGCAATGGTACCCTCAGTTCTGAGTGAACTCTGAAGCCACAGTCACAAGTGGGGGAGCATCAGCTTGGTGCTGGGCACTGAGCCCAGGAAAAAGGATCTGATTTTACTCCTGCTCACCTCCTTCCCCAAGGGAGAGAAAAATACCGCTGAAAACCAGTTGGCTGCTTGAACTTTCAAGCAATTTGAAGACTTTCTAGAAGACTAGACTTACTGATGCCAGTATTTTGTAAAGTCATTGTGTCACATTATGAGTACTGAAGCTTTAGTTATACCTTTTCCTGACTAAGCAGAAGTCCAAGGCCAATTCACCTGTTTCAAATGTTAATCACAAATGAGAATAGCAGCTTTGTGAGCAGAGATAGTATTCCTTTACCTATTCTTGTCTGCTCCAGAATTAGATCGCCTTCCTTGCAGCTACCCTGGGGCCTTAGAACAAATTCCCAGTCTGGTACCTAGCCAGACAAGCATTCAGAAAGGTTTTTGCTTTGCCTAAGTTGCAGCAGTATCAGAATGTGATATGGTCCCTCCTTCCTAACATGAGGCTGCTTATAGCCCATCTTCTCTGTAGGTGTTACTGTGCCTGAACAGAAGGAAAAATCTCCATTGCTACAGCTTTGCCAGGAATACATATTTCTTCTTACTATAAATATTGCCACATGTGCCAGTAATAATCCCATGCAGAGGCCAGGTTCCTTTTAAGGAAGTGTTCAAGGGAAGTCATTGTCAATGTTGTCAGCTGTGGGATCGAGCTTGGGTGTCTTTTCATGCTGATTTTTATCCAAAGAGTAGCACAACTATGGAGACAGCTGCATAAGCACAATACACTGCTGCTCATTGGTAGTCACCAGTTTGACATCCAGAGCACTCAAAGGAGTTTTACTCTTGTTGCCCTCCTGGGGCAAGGAGGAACTTGAGGAAGAAGCCTCCTTGCAAACAGTCATAACTGTTAACTCTGCTTTTCACATTCGAGAGTAAGATGTGGTTTTACTTTGGCAATTCCATCATTACATGAAGTACAGGGGAGGTTTAGCACAATGCTCAATTGAAAGGTCTCCTAAGTGGCAGATCTTCACTTCAGGAATAAACATCCTCTTTCTCACATACTCTAGTGGAAGAGGTCATTGCTCCTGCAAGCCTGAAAGTGCCAAAGGGAGGTTACTATTGTGCTTATTTTTGTAAAAAGCAGTTTATCTCAAGTAGATCTCCACCTTTGGTCTGAGTCACAAAGTAAGATTTAACCCATTGTTGCTACCTTCCCATCTACTGATTTCCCCTGTGGTTCTATGAAGTGCAACAGCTGCTGCTTTGCTGTTACACTTCATAGAACCAAAAATTCTGTGATCACTTCAGCATATCCTGCATCAGGAACTATCCTCAAATGTCACAGCACCCCAAGACCACATTGCAGACAGTGTGTCATTGTTATTTGCAGACTTGAGCTGCATCAGCTCACATCAGGATTGAGAAATGAATTTTCTTTGTCAGCATTTCCTGTACTGGACCCTCACCAGCTTCCTTTTCTTGGTTTACCTCTTGACTGCTGTGGTTTCTTCAAAATTTCTGCTTATTTTGAAAGAGGTTTCTACACTTTTGAGGATGCCCTTGTTTTTGGTGGTATGAGATCAAATCAGTGTCAATAACCACGGGGCTGTTTAGCCAGATTGCCCAGCTCTTGCTGTCAAGACACTTCTGCAAGTGACATGAATCTCTTGCTTAAACTGCCAGGCTCACAAACCTCACAGATTTCTTCATGACCATTGAGAACTCCAGTCTTTATCAGCAGACTGCATGCCCAGAGAGCAGGGCATGCCATAAGTTTATCTCTTGGTACAGAAGTCTCTCCTGAGGGAAAGGATACCATTGGTAAGATACTTTCTAAGAGAGAGCCATAAGTGTGCTCCCAGATAGCTGCTTGTTGAAGTAAACATGCAAGTCAACCCACAAGCTGGCTTTCCTCTTGCATTTTTGAGTCATCATATTCACAAGATACCTACAAATAGCTCAGATTCACTTTAAATAAGTGCAAGTTATTGTGTGCCAGGGGAGGGTACACTTGTCTGCTCCAAATTGATTTGCATGGAAAGGTGCTTCTGCTCCCCGCAAAAACTCTTCCAAAATCACAAGCATTGCAGACAGCTGTTAACACCAAGGACCCATTGCCTCTCCAGACTGTAATTTTGAATTAAAGGTTCTATTCCCCCTCCAAACAGAGGAATGCTGGTTGTAGTAAGCTGGGCACAGAATAGTTTCCAAAAGGCAAGGAAAGCACAAGCAAGAGCTGACTTCAGCTGCGTCACATCCTTTCTATCTGACCCACTGCAACAATCTTCAGCTGGTACTTTCAGTTCTCATTATTTAAATGCTGGATTTGAGTTTTCATGTTCCTACCATCTGCTCACACACAATACAGAGCTTCTCAAGCCAATAATCTGAAGTAAAAATACCTCAAGATAACGACACAAACTTGAGAGACCTCAGAATTTCCTTTTAAAGAGCACTTGAACATGTGACATTCTGCAAAAACCAGCCAAGGAAGTCATCAGCTGCTTCATAAATAGAATATAGCTTTATTTAATTTGAGATTAGGCCAAAGTCAGTGAATGTGCAAAAAAAATTTAAAAGAATAGGCCAAATCTAAGATTAGATATTCTAGTCCCCACAGACTGACATCTTAAAGGGACAATGGGGTAACTAATTATACATGTAAAACATGCTCAGCTCTCAGAGCAATCCAGGCTAGGGACACACTGCCGAGGGAGAAGCCCTGCAGAAAAGGCTCTCAGGGTGGGCAGTGAGCTGAGACCTGGCAGCAGAAAGGTCAGAAGCATCCTGCCCTGTGTGTCAGAATCACAGCCCTCAGGAGCTGATGGAAGTGATTGTGCCCCTCATCTCAGCAGTCATTAGGGTGAGTTCAGCAGAGGACCCACAGGATCCTGGAACACTTGCCCTGTGAGAAGAGGCTGTGAGGCTGAAGTGGCTCGTCCTGGCTCAGCTTTGGGAGTTGTTTCAAACAGCCCTCAACCCCGTGGGAGAGTGACCCAGGAGCTGGAACCAGGCGGTGAATGGTGGGAGGATGAGAAATTGTGAATGAAAGCTGAAGGTAGAGAGGTTCAGAGAGAAGGTAAGGAGACCCTTTCCCCCTTGGCACAGCTGGGCAGGGGGGTGTATTGCCCAGGGAAACTGCTGGCTCCATCCTGGGAGTTTTCTGGTCCACAAAAGGGCACAGCTCTAAGCAGCCTGATGTGGGCTCAGAGGTGACCCTGCCTGAGTGGAAGGATGCACAGGAGACCTCCTCAATTCCCTTCCCTTACAAATGCCCCTATGATCTTGCAATCCTATATGAATAACTCTTCTATAGCACTGTTATTTACAAAGACAACAAGTAGAAAAATATGTGCTCCAAAATATCGATGCCTAGCAACCAGCACAGCAATTCCTGAAAATCCACTTAAAGAGAATTTCAGGGGCTGGATCATGCACTTGTTAGCTGCTTTTTGTCATTGGAATAGCACGTTACAGATAAAGGAAGGTCTAAGAACTTGCTTGACTGCTTTCTGATAGTTATTCTGTGAACTGAAGTATGACGGGATGAGTCAAGATGGACCCATTATGTCAGGCCTGTGCACAACTTGCCTCAAACAAATTAATGCCCGAACAGCACAAGCAGAAAAGAAATTAAGTGTCCATGGACTTTTGGTAAGGCAATACTAGAGCTTAGGTTCATGCCATAACTACTCAAAATGCTTGTCATTAGGGCATGGTTTGTCTGAAGTCATGGGAGTAAAAGGGAGAGAAATCCTCTGGTTTGTTATTTTTCTTCTCACAGAACTCCATATCCCGTCTCCATTACATAAAAGCATATTACAGACATATTGTTAAATTGATTCAGGGGGTGCAAGGACAAGCAGATCCCAATCAAGGAAGCAATTTTATTGCCTTAGCCTTCTATAACCCCAGTGCTCTCTCTTTGCATTCCACTTCTTCCTGTAGTTCTGTATTTCTCTAGAGGAAATTTCTGATTGCAGGGGTGCTGAAAGCAAGCTAAATTATCCCAATAAGCCTTTTGGATCTGAAAGTCTAGGAACTGAGCTGTGTCCATTTGACAGTGGACTGAAATGAAAGAATAGGGGTGAGAACATTAATTTTTGTAAGTTGAGCTTGAGCCTCCCTTTTTATTCTGAGAGGTAATTTGATTTAATTATTTGCCTTTAAGGTAGAGTGTTCTTGAACGACAAAAATAATTAAATAAAAACAAGTGAGTGATCTTTGTGCTAGTAAGGGCATATGAATAATAGCACTATGACCCACTGTCAGAGGAGGGGAAGGGGAAGAAGAAAAACACTGCTAACTGGGACTCACTCTTCATTGGTCATCCCAGAGCATCATGTGGCCACGGCTCCTTTTTAAAGATAAGTGCTCTTCTCCTGGAGCTCATTATATTCTCCAGTCCTGCCCTTCTGTTTGAACCTGTGGAAGGCATCTTTCTAGCCTGACAAGATGTGCGACCATTTTGTGGGCACCTGGAAGCTCCTTTCCAGTGAAAACTTTGAGGACTATATGAAAGAACTGGGTGAGAATTGCTATTTCAACTTCTTGTGTCTGGAACAGGGAAGGAATGCCAGTTTTGATCTTTACTCTTTACTTGCTTTTTCTGGCTGTGCTGTTTGTCAAGGGGGGTTTAATCCAGTATTTTGATCAGATAGTCTTAAACTGGAGAATTCGTCTGTTTCAAAAAGTGGTGTTAAAATCCTAAAAAGCAGAAAAACTTTACTTGATGGGAAAAATTTCAGGTAAGTCAAGTCTATGCATGCTTTATTAGTAGTTTTATAAATGGAAGTAAAACACATCACTGGATTATTTGGTGTGAATTTGCTTTTATCCTTGGACATGCAAATTGGTGTGATGCTAGAAAGCAGCAAGTTTCCTAATGTCTATGAGCAACACACCTAAACACCTTTAAAATGCTGCTGGATTAGGACACCAGTTAATTGCCATGGCTATTATATTGAATGAAACTCTGTAGCTAGCTCCAGTGGATATTAATAAAGACAATTGCATGGATTCATGTAGATACTTGCAAGATTTGATGTCTAACACTTTTCTCTAAAGGTGTAGACTTCTAACTTACAATTAAAATTGGGATTTAAAAGGTTTCAACATTGTGTTAGTATGGAGGAAGCAGGGGGTGACTTGCACTGATTCAATTACCACATGCCAAAAGCTGGGGGGTTATTTGCAGTTTAGGGGTAAAATACTTACTGTGACTTATCCTGACAGCTTTCAATGAGTGAGACTTGCACTCCTAATCTTTACTCCAGATTTTACTCAGGACATAGTACTTGCCAGCTATTTCTTAATCATTTCCTTACATTCAACCTACCCACTTGTAAATATAAAAAGCTTGGGGTTTTTTCCTTGTTTGTTTGTGTTGTTGCTTTTGTGGCTCAGAAACTGTTATATATTCCTGCTTATTTACATTTAGATACAATTAGCATACAATTTATTGTACAAGCTACTAAAATTATTCTGAACAGGTCTATGTGCAAATATCTGGCATTCATATATAATCTCAGTCTTCAAAATATTACTTTTACTGTTTTGACAATGACAGAGAATTTCCTTACAGCAACCCACCCAACTTGGTCTATAGCAGAACCAAGTAAGATTTTAGAAAAGAATTTCTCTAAAATAGAATTAGTAACACTCAGAAGACAATAGCAGAAAAATCACGGAGGGATTTTTTTTTCCAACATATAAGACAAAAAGATTGAGGAAAGATAAAAAATTCATAGTGCCCTATCTTATTTACAGGTGTGGGGTTTGCTACCAGGAAGATGGCTGGTGTGGCCAAGCCTAATGTAACTATCAGCATCAATGGTGATGTGATTACCATCAAAACAGAAAGTACCTTCAAAAACACAGAGATCTCTTTCAAGCTGGGTGAAGAGTTTGATGAGACCACAGCAGATGACAGAAAAACAAAGGTGAGTCCCAAAATGGCATTTTGCAAATACATCTCTCAGAAGGGTTGTGGGAGCAGCAGGGCAGAGCTGTGATTTTGAATCAGTGCAGAAATGCTGCCTCCACAGGTAAGACTGCTGAGGGTGCTTTGCGCTTTGTGCTGTTGGGACCTGAGAGTCTTCTCCTGAGACCAGAGCGCCCTGATGAAACAGCCACACTTTGTTTTTTCACTTTGGTAGAATGTCATAACCCTAGAGAATGGTGTGCTGAAGCAGGTGCAGAAGTGGGATGGAAAAGAGACTATCATAAAGAGAAAGGTGGTGGATGGGAACCTGGTGGTGGTAAGTTAATTTTTATTACTTAATCGCTGGATTCGGTGTGCAGAATTCATGTTTAGCTGATGTATGCCTTTGGATTCAAACACAGGGAGGGAAAGCATCTGAGAGGGCTCTGTGCACTTGGTGAGAAGTCTCTCTGATTGAGCCTAGAGCGTAGCTTAAAACTGAAAAGCTGTTAAACTTATGGAATGATATGAAGGTGCCTGTTCTCCATTGTCCTGTCTCCTTGTCTCCAGCAAGACATGGTTGGGACATGTAGGAAGAAAAACCCAACATCCTTATGAGGGAAACATATATTTCAGAACCTTTAAGTCCTGGAAGGTATAGAGGAAGCATTAGAAAAGCCCACATTAAATAAGTCCACTCTATGCTGATGCAAAATACTCCTGTTCATCCTCAGCAGAGGCTTAGAGCCCTCTGTGGGAATCCTGCTCTGCATCACCAACAACTGTGTTAATAATGTGATGTTAGAGCAAGGAAACGTGTCCAAGCTCTCTTGGTTGGTTTTACCTGGTCAGACTACTGTGCTTGACCTGGTGCCAGGAAGGCCCACATACAGTCTGGGGCTTCCCAGCTCTGCTCTACAGTTTTAGAAAACACACTTTGAAGAATCTGGGACAGGACTAAATCTATGTTCATAAAAGGCAGCTGAGATTGCTACATGCTGAAAAGCTATACACATACACAAAATTCCTGAACAGTTCTGCCCTCCCCTAAGGAAAAATAATATGTCCATAAATTCAATATTTAAATTCCTTTGGATAGAGACCAGAGGAGAAGAAATAGAAATAGTTTTTAATAACAACTTCATTAAGAAAGACTGAACAAACCAGAGTTTGATCTAACTGAAAAATAGATGAGGACAGAGCCTAACATGCAGAGGCTGACACTGGCAGCTGCAAGTCTGAAAGCTCTCTGTGTGCATGAGTTGTGCTCACGTGTGTGAAGACAACCACAGCTGCAAAAGGTGAAGGGAAAAAAGGTTAATGCCCAGCTCCAGGGACCAGTAAGCCTGCACAGAAGTCCTAGGAGCCTTCTGTAGAGATTTAAAAAAAAAATATTAGAAATCTCCCAGGGGTCAGTACAGCAATTCTTGAAAATTCTTTCACTCCTGTGCTTGTTTTCCCGTCTTCTGTTGCTGAAGCTCTCAAAACTGAGTTCCACTCTTTTAGCAATTGCCTTTAGAGGCAGAGAAATGCAATTTTTTCTTAAACTGGTTCCCAATAGATAAGTAATTCTCTACCTTCGGACTAACAAACATTTAGTAAGAGTTAAAAGCTTACTGAATTATCTTTTCTTTCCAGGAATGCACCATGAATAATGTTTCCTGCAAAAGAACCTATGAAAAAGCATGAAGAAGCCACCTTCACACAGGACTAATGCTTAAAGCTGGAGTAAAACAACTTAACCAAAGGAGAAAAGCCCCACAAATCTGTTTTAAAGAGAACTGTACTTTTTTCAGATATATCCCAAAGCAGTTACATGCATTTAATCTAATTTGTTGTGCCTATTCAATAAAATGTTCTGCTTTCTACAACATGTGGTTATGCTGGAGTTTGTCAGGGCTTGGGGGCCATGCAGTGTGGGAAGGGTGCTGGGCAGGAAAGCACCACATGAGAGGCACTGCCACTCTCAGCCATGTCACCCATCTCCCTGAGGAGAGAGCACCAGAGCCAGTCCAGGGAGTGGCACTTGTGTCACAGTGACAGATGGACCCTGAACACCCATCTGGGAGTGCTGTGGGGGCCTGCCCCTGCAAGGAGCCTGTGCTCAAGGCAATGGGGCTGCTCTGCTCAGCTTCCAGCAGAGCTGGTTCTTCCTGGGGCAGGGAGCAGGATCATCTGTGGATGCCCAGTTTTGGCTTCCAAACATGAGCAGGGTACCAGGCACCTCCTTTGTGCACAAATGCAGACAATTTTAAACCAGGAGACCATTTGAAGCAGCTTGATCTTATCCTTTTTTCACCTGATCTTATAGTTTCTTTACCTCAACTGTGAAATTATAGCAGCTAGAGCTTTCACCTGTGATTATTTTGTCAATGTGCCTGTCTTGACCATCTCATTTTGACCTAGGTAGGCTAAAAGCCTGTAATTAATAACCACAGCTTTAAAAATACTCAGGTTGACTAAAAGTCTGTACAAGTTTGTTGGTGGAACAGCCTCCTTTATTCCCTGCATGCATTTTCTACCAGCTCATTAGGCGTGATCAGTCTTGGGAACTTGAGCCTTTCCAGATGCAAAGCCCTTTGGTACACCATGTTTTTCAACTCTGCTTATGTCTGAACTGCCATCTTCTACTGCCCATAGGCCTGATGTCCTATTTCAAAACTTTGCATCTACAGAAGCCATGACTTCTACACCTGGGAGGGCTTAAATTGAGGACAAAAAAAAAATCAAGATTTCCAGAGAAAACCTGGACAATATGTGTAAAAGTGTGTGTCTTATCCACTAAATGGGGAAATGAGTGATTAAGAGCTCTGATCTAGAGTGATTTAGAGTGATTAAGATCTTTGAACCAAATTCCACATATTCCTGACATTCCCAAAGTCAGCTGTCAGAGGTGATGGCTGAGTCCCTACTGCTAGCAGCAGGGACCTCTCATACACTTGAACTTTCCACTGAATTACTCGGGTTGCTTCCAAGTTTTTGCACTATTTATACAACAGGATAGGGAAATGGAAGGACTTTTGCATTGTACATGAGCTGAGGAGTCATTTAAAAGCAATGCCAAAGACTATCAGTAAATTCTGCAGAAAGTGTTTAGATAACCATGAACAAACAACTCCTGTGTTTTAACCTTGTCTTCATTGCTTGAAGTCTCACCAGTTTAGAGAACAGCAGCTGCATATGGGATGGAAGAATGATTCAGAGTATATACATGTACAACTACATATATATGCACTCCATACTAAATCTACTTAGCACTTAACAAAACCAAAATTATTTATGACAGGTAAGATACAACTACACTTTAGTGGTAGAAAATCTGCACGAGAGCGATGGTTGTAAGAAGCAGAAACATTGATTTAAATAAACTACATATAGGCATTAAATATCAGCCCATAGTATTCTATCATCCACAGATTTGGAAATACTCTGTCAGAGGTAAAAGTTCCAATATTTCGATATTCATATAGCAGATTTTATTTTCCAGAAATCTTACATTCTGAATGCAGCCAGCAGTTACAATTGTAACATTCACAGCCTAACATTTCAGCAAAGGGTAATCTCTTCTAAAAGCATCACCCTTTATTTTCATACCTGGTGAATGACTTTGAACTTTGTGAATTAATCAAGACACTTAAAACTTCTATTTTTGGAAATTTCAATAAAGTGACATTCTGTCTATAAACCTGAACAGGGATAGCTTCATTAGGAAGTATTAGTGATGCTTTTCCTAGAATATGAACATGTTTGGAATTTAGTCTCTGAAGAAGGACAAAATTTATTGTCTGGAAACAGCAGCAGTCTAGGGACTGCTTGAATAAATGGAGGTGATTCCACTCTGTCAAGAAAAGGTGTGTGCTCGCAGACCCAGATGGGGGTAGGACACACATTTCTAAGGGCTAAAGTCAGATCAGTGTCTTGTCCTCACCTGCAGAGCAGCACAGGTCTCCCTCTCTCTCCTGTCATGCTGAACTATTGTCCAAAGGTCAGTAACCACCCCAGAGCATTCCTTTCTGCCAAAGAAGGATCCTACTAAACCCCTACAAACCCATGGACAGCACACTTGTCACAGCAGGCACCTTGGATGCTGCAAGGAGGAGATCTCTTCCCCTCTCCACATCCACTCACCACTCCTTTACAGGTTTCTTGGACAACAAAAGGGAAAGGTGACTCACACCCACAGATTATTGGCAATTCAGCAGAAAGATGAGGAAAGGCTTATTCTGATCATTGACTTATCAGTTGTTTTTCTCATTTTCTTTTAACTATTTATTTCCATTGGAAAGAGCTGGAAGGACTTTTGTGTCCTGGCCAGTCAAGCCCTGTGTGTGCAGTGCAGTCTGGACTTATTTCCCCAGCCCAGTTGTCTCAGTCTGTTTCTGTAGGATGCTCCAGCTAAGGGACAAGAAGCTCTTTGCACCCTCCAATGTAGCTGCAGGGAAAAGGGAGGCTGCTGGCCCCATGTTCAGGGTTGATCCTTCAGCTTCATAGAGTCAATGCTAAAACATCCTTGGTGTCCTCACAGCAAGTCCCTCTTTGACCTCTGTTCTCCCCTTCTATTTCTGTTTTCTTCATTGCTCCCCTGGGAATCTATTTAGACTTTCTGGGCCTTGGATTTGCCTAGATCATATTTCCTTTAAATAAATTCACATGTTTACTTTCTGTATTTCTTTAAATGGTATCATTATCTCTAATTAATCTCTGAATTCTTAGTTCTCTATTTTTATCAAGTTTTAGCTTTATCTCTTGTGCTTCTTCACAATCTGCAATTTCTATGTTTTAAATCCTGTTTTACATGAACTATAAGCAAAACAAGGGAATCAAGGCTATTCCCTATCATATGTACTCACAATCCTTGATGCTTTTTTCTGCTTTAAACTCCAAGAAAAGATTGGTTTCCACAATTATTTCTACTGAGACATAATTCCCTGCTCTTGTTCTTTCTAAACTGCAAGTCCTTTAAATGAAAGTACTGTTTTTTCTTGGTGACAAAGAGATAGATGGCAGTAATGTCAACATTGTTTGAGACTGCTTAAGACTGGGGTTTTGTCTGAATAAATAATTCTCTGTTACTTTTGTTCTTAAGGGTACTGGTACTGCAGTGTAGCTGTTCTATTCTGACTAATTTGCTCTTCTTGAATTTCTTTGGGCCTAATTTTACAACATCCCAATCATCTTTTATTCCCAAAGGCACCAGCCTTGTCTTGTTAAAGTGTCTCTATGTGGATAAGACAATTAAATAAAAGAACAAGGAATGCCTGAGGAGCAACGGTAGCATATTTTCATATTATTTCTTGAGCAATAATGGATAGTTTCATTTAGAAGTAGTTTTCTCATTTTCAGAGATGGGATAAAAGACCTAGCTATTCTTTATACAAAATGTGATATTATTCATCTCTGCTTTAGAGGAGCTTTGTGTGGACAACACCTTCAAAAACTGACATTTACTTACTTATTACAGGTACAGCATCTGCCTCCTATTGTGGGGGAGAAAGAGTTCTTTGCTGTGATTATATTTTTAATCACTCCAGACTTTTTCTCCTCACACTGAGCTGTCATTAGACCTGTGCAGCAAGGGAAGCTCTTTTCAGCTTCCCATGCTGATGTTATTATTGAAGGGTATAAACACATTTGGCATATATCACCAAAACATGTGACTGAAGACCTTCTTGTTTCCCACAACCACCATGTAAACCATAGACTACAACAATTTCACTCCTCAGACTCTATTATTTACCTGTTCCAGTGTGTTCCCCTTCTTCCTTATGACAGCTTTCAATCAGAACCTAGACCTCATCTTCCTTGGCACACCACCATTTCCATCTCATTCCTTCAACTCTAAACACAAGAAACTTGGTCCCACCACCTATAATCCCATTATCTCTGCCCTTAAAATGTAGATCTGAACAGTCTTCATAGGTTGCCATAACCCAGAAATTACAGTCATACAAAAAAGACAAACAGGTAGCTATTGTTCACCCAAGTTGGAAAGAAACCTCTAATCTTTGCATGTACCAAGCAATAATTTCCCCAGGAAGATGGTTTAGGAAGAGGAAGGACAGAATTACATCTGATGTGGTCTTGCACTAAATAGTTGAGGTGTCTTTAGTTACAAAGCTTTAAATTCCTGCCTGTCACATACACATGTGGTTTATGATTTCTTTGTGTCTGTTTTTTACTAACCGTTAGACAATAGTTCTAAATGTGGACTTAAAAAAAAAAAACACCAAACCAAAACAAAACAAAACAAAAATACACTTTTAAAGGCTGAAAGCTCTAATCTTTCAATCTTTCAATTTTAGCATGGCAGAAAATATTCTGGTGGTCCAGGTGTACACCAAGCTGAATATGAGCCAGGAACTGCATTGGCAGCAAAGGGTCCTGGGCTGCATTAGGAGTGTGTGAGGTTGAAGGAGATTTTCCTCCCCTTCTATTCTGCACTCAGCAGGCCACAGCTGGAATGCTGAGTCCAGATCAGGGCTCCCTGGTACAAACAGTACACGGACCCAAGGAGATTGTGACATTACTTCATGGAAGCAGGGAAACCTGAGGAAATCTGACAATAGTAGGACACATTTGAATGCAATGTGTTATATGATTCTGCTGGCTTAAATCTTCCCTTTACTTTATGACAGATTAACTACCCATGTGCAGAAAGAAAAAAGGAAACAGAGTGTGTCCCCTGTGAAGTCAGTAAAGCTTCTTGCCTCTCATGACGTGACTTTAAACTAAGAATAAGAACTTTAATGACTCAGCCTCTTTTCGTGCCGTCCACCTGTCAGGCACGAGACCTGATCTCCACTGATGCACTGCTCTTCTGAATATGCCAGGTTTTAAAAGGGAGCCAGCAAATATTGTCTGCTTCTTCTTCTTCTTGGGATCCTGTCTGGGATACGTGCAGGGAAGAACCCACAGCTTGGGATCATTTCTCTGATGCAAAGGAAGAAAACAGAACAGTAAAACTCAGTTCTGCCTTTAAATGATAAAAAATACAGACCTTTTCCAGGATGGACCATGAAAGTAAGAAAAACACCCAACAAACCACTTTGCACATCATCTTCTTGACCATTCCTTCGCACAAGCCACATGGCTTTGATTTATCTGACTAGCTCAGAGGTGACAATAGTGGTAACACTCTACAGCCTCCTGAGGAGGGGAAGTGGAGGGGAAGGTGCTGATCTCTTCTCCCTGCTATCCAGGGATAGGATGTATGGGAATGGTTCAAAGCTGTCTCAAGGGAGGTTCAGATCTGTCATTAGGAAGCACTTCTTTAGTGAGACACTGGTCATACACTGAAACAGGCTTCCTAGAGAGGTGGTCAAACTCCAGGCCTGTCAGTGTTTAAGAGTCATTTGGACAAGACTTAACAACATGCTGTAACTTTTGGTCAGCCCTGGCTTGGTCAGGCAGTAGGATGAGATGGTTGTTATAGATTTCTGTTCTCTATGGTGACTGCAGGACAATAGTACTGGGAGGACAGTGGGAGCTGGGTTTTGTAGGGAGGCAGTGCTCCTGTACTTGTCTCTGTGCTGCTGACTCCCCCCTGCAGTGTGCCCTGACCTGTCTGCAGGTGCAGTGGTAACATCCCATCCCATCCCATCCCATCCCCATCCCCCCTCCCCATCCCCCTCCCCATCCCCATCCCCATCCCATCCCATCCCATCCCATCCCATCCCATCCCATCCCCATTCCCCATCCCATCCCCATCCCCCATCCCATCCCATCCCATCCCATCCCCATCCCCATCCCCATCCCCATCCCCATCCCCATCCCATCCCATCCCCATCCCCATCCCCCATCCCCCATCCCCCTCCCCATCCCCATCCCATCCCATCCCATCCCATCCCCATCCCCCATCCCATCCCCATCCCCCATCCCATCCCATCCCATCCCATCCCATCCCCATCCCCATCCCCATCCCATCCCCATCCCAATCCCCATCCCCATCCCCATCCCATCCCCATCCCCATCCCCATCCCCATCCCCATCCCCATCCCATCCCCGTCCCCATCCCCATCCCCATCCCCATCCCCATCCCCATCCCCATCCCATCCCCGTCCCCATCCCCATCCCCATCCCCATCCCCATCACCATCCCCATCCCATCCCCATCCCCATCCCCATCCCCATCCCGTCCATCCCCATCCCCATCCCCCATCCCATCCCCATCCCCATCCCTATCCCCATCCTCATCCCCATCCCCATCCCCATCCCCATCCCCATCCCCATCCCCATCCCCCATCCCATCCCCATCCCTATCCCCATCCCCATCCCCATCCCATCCCATCCCCATCCCATCCCCATCTCCATCCCATCCCCATCCCCATCCCATCTCCATCCCATCCCATCCCATCTCATCCCATCCCATCCCCATCCCAGGCACTCCCCCTGTCCTGGTGTGCCCAGTGAAGGGAGCCAAGGCAGCGTCACCCAGAGCCCTGCTGCTGGCACGGCTGCCCTGGACAAGGTGCACATTGTCTCACCCTGGCACTGCCTCCCCTATTGGCCAACCCCCTCTGCCACGGGCACGGGACCTCTTTAAAGGGAGACCACTAAACCTCCCTGGGGCACACAACCTCTGACTGCCACCAAGAGCTGCTGTGGCCACTGCCTCTCTCTGCAGGAGCAGCGCCTCACAAAGCCTGAACGATGTGTAACCGATTTGTGGGAACCTGGAAACTCATCTCCAGTGAAAACTTTGATGACTATATGAAAGAATTGGGTGAGAAATGTTCTGGGTTTGTTTGTTTGTTTGTTTTTGTTTTCCTTTTTGTTAGCAAGTTTTTTGTTAGTAAGTTAGTTAGCTAGTAAGTTTGGGAAGGCTCTGCTCATGGATGCTACCTTCTTTCTTGCAAAAAAAAGCCCTTAATTACTCTTCTAACATAATTTAATGCCTTTCTTTAGCATCCAAATTGAAAAATGTAGGTGATGAATTACTATTATAAATTTACTTCTGCCTAACTGATATGAATCAATTTAATAAGTTTTTCTGTCATGAGAGTAATCTATGGGGATACAGATTTTTTTTGTTTCCTCTTGATTGCACTATTAAACTTGTGACTTATGATAATTCACAATATATAATGGAGCTGATGTCTCATGACACTGTAGTTTCAGACATCTAAATACTGTGAATGAATCTATCTGTTACTGAAGAATGCCAGGAACGTAACAAATTAAGCATTGTTTTTCATTTTAATGCTGGCTTCATTCCTGTGTGCCAAGTGCATAGACAGTCAGCTACTGCATTGCTTTTGCTGTATAAATGATTCACTGATTCCCTTTATTTGAAATGTTAGACTGAATAACAAAAGAATTGCAGTTAATTAATTAGCCAGGGCAAATGTGGGAGGAAAGTCCAGCTGCAGATATTTTTCTGAACCTCTGAACAGAATTGCTTAGTATGGAATAATTATTGCAAATAGTTTTATACTTTGTAGATAACTATACCCTTTTTTACAGATCTTTTAATTTGAGCATGGCATAGCATTAACATGGCACTAACTGCAGCTATCCCTTTTCTGCCCTTATGAAGCAGTGATACATCACCAGTATCACTGGTGGCTTCATTCCTACTTGCCCCAAACCTCACAGCCTGTAGGCAATGAACTGGACTGGAGAGGATTAGGCAACACAAAAGGTTTTTGGCATGGGTTGTTCCTGGAAGCTCTTTGCAGCTCTCAGCCTTTATACCTCCATGTTTTTTATATTTCATACTTGTACTTTTCACCGAGGTTTAGATGCAAGGATCCTTAAAGGATGTTAATAACAACTTAGGAATTACCCAGTCTTCAGTATATTTTAATGAATAAGCACCAGCATATTGGCAATTCAGTGCCCAGTTTCTTCCTTGCAGCTATTAACAAAGGTACAAATTCTCAGATTTGTCAAGGATTTTTTTAAAAGGATTTTTACAATTTTTTTTTGAGAACCAGACTTCCTATTAATTTTTCTACTTATTCTATCTATATTAAATTGATGCAGATTTGTAACCAACCGTGTTTCTTCTTAGTTAATTGTGCACAGCTCTATAATTGTGTATATCTTTACTTCCTGCTGCACTCTTACCAGCTGGGGCTGCCTCAGCCCCTGAACACTGAGATTTCCATTCCTACCTCTGTCTCAGTAGTGTCTCATCTAAAGAATGAGTGTTTCATCTAAATCAGGCATTGAAGTATTCAAGAAGAAACTCTTCCTTATTCTTCCACTGAAGAATAATGAGAGGATACTGAATTTCTTACTTCTAAAATATAATTATTTTTGTTGTTTCTGATTTCCAGGAGTGGGCTTAGCTGCCCGGAAACTAGGTGGCCTGGCAAGGCCTGATGTGATCATCAGTATGAAAGGGGACATAGTCACCATCAGAACTGAAAGCACCTTCAAAAACACAGCCATCTCCTTCAAACTGGGCCAGCAGTTTGATGAAACAACAGCAGATGACCGGAAAGTCAAGGTAAGGGGGCTGATGAACTCTGAGCGGTCTGAACATCTCATAGAACACCAGGGGAAATTTTACCTACTCCCTTAGTGCACCTTGAGTTTTCCAAAGTATTGAAATAAAGCACTGAAAGAAGACACAGTATAGTGCTGAATATAATGTTACTGAGCATGCCATTATGCTCAAGTGCATATCTTGCTGAACGCAAGGTGAATTGCTACTCTAAACTGCAAAGCTCAGTCTGCAGTCTGAAACTCTTCTCTTGGAATTTGCAGAGTGTTGTAACCTTGGAGAAAGGGTCATTGGTGCAAGTGCAGAAGTGGAATGGCAAAGAGACCACGATAAAGAGAAGACTTGTTGACGGGAAGATGGTGGTGGTAAGTTCACGTTCTTGTATGCTGCTAAAGGTCAGAAGGATACAGCCTTCAGCACATTTCTGTGTAAACAGACTATCAATTTTGGCTTACTCTTTGAATGATGAAACAAATTAAAGGAGAGAAAAATGGAACCAAGCTTAGAAAACAGCTGGAAAGAAATAAATGTTGTTGCATACAGCAACTTGTCTTTAAAGTCACCATATTGGCAGAGCTGCCATAAGTTGACAGCATACTTACCACTGTCAATATTATTGTTCTTAAAAGGAATAAGGTTTTAAAATAACAGAAACCTGTGAAATGGAAACAAAAGTTTACAAGCAGGGTACTGCTGTCCCTGAAACAGCTCGTTCCTTTTCACTACTTTGGCCAAGCCAGAGAGATAAAACTCCTAGCTGCAAGGGTCACTATTAAAATTAAGATTTCACTTTGTTCATTAAAGTTTTTTAATATTGGAGACAAACTAATTTTAGCAACTTGTTTGAAGTCAGCAGCATTACACTTTTACATGTTAGCTTGTTCTGACTGTCTTTTGTTATAAGTTCTCATACACAGAATCATAGGATGGTTTGGGTTGAAAGGAACCTTAGAGCTCATCTAGTTCCAACCCACTGTCACGAACAAGAACAGCTTTCACTAGACCAGGTTACCCAAAGCCCCATCCAGTCTGATCTTGAATGTTTCCAGGGATGAGGCATCCAAAAATTCTCTGGGTAACCTGTTCCTGTGCCTCACTACCCTCACGGTAAAGAATTTCTTCCTAGTATCTAATCCAAACCTCCCCTCTCTCAGTTTAAAGCCATTCCCCCTTGTCCTGCCATTGCACAGCCCTGTAAAAAGTCCATCTCCAGCTCTCTCAAAATCCCCCTTTATGTAGGAAGGTTGATTTGGTTTTGCATCTCCGCATGGCTGCATTTTTTTGTAAGATTTTCCAATTATTAAACCCTCTTCATGAAGCAGAGAGGTAAAAGTGCCTCCTCTGTCAGCGTCCTGCTGCCTGCCCCTTGCCTCAGAGAGGGCTGTGGAGGACTCCTCCTCCTTTGCAGACCAAGGAAGTATTTTTTTAACATCCTGCTGCCTTTGTCGCATGCATCCTGTGACTGAGAGTCAACAGCAGCCACTGAAGGCTGAGGATGAGAGGGGTGAGAGGGTCAAGAGAAATATTTTGTGACTCAGAGGAGCAAAGATTTTTTGGGCCTGTAGCCTGACCTTTGAGATACCCAGGCTACTTCTGCTTCTACACAAAAAAAAACATTACTACTTTGAAAATTTGAAAGCATTGGTGGGCCATGATATAAAAACTAGGTGAGGCTAACATTTCTGACAAGCTAGCAATAATACCAAGGAAAGTAAATTTGTTTGTGGAAGCTAAGCCTAATTTTGCAATCTTTTTGTCATTAAATGCCACTTATGAAGTTTAAAGCTGTTAAAATAGAAACAGCTCTATTTGCAGTGTAAAAATAGCTTTGCTGTTTGCTCTAAAAACATGACATCTGGATTTTCATTGACTTCAGACGTTACTGCAGCAGACACAACTGCTGTCAGCAAAAGGTTTATATTAATATTTTCCTTTATGCCTTAGGAATATGCCATGAAAGGGGTTGTCTGCACCAGAGTTTATGAAAGAGTGTGAAGAAGTTCCCTCTCTGCACCGGACCAGAACTGGCTCTAAAACCTCGGCTTAGTTCAGTGACCAAAGCCGCATGCACTGTGCTTCTTTATTTTATTTTATTTTATTTTATTTTATTTTATTTTATTTTATTTTATTTCCTTATATCAGGAAAATTACTACACCATAATTTGGTATTTCAGAGCCATAGTGTAACTAATCCAAAATATTGTGGTGATCCAATAAAAGCTTCTCAACACAGAAAATAGTGTTTGGCTCCACATGAATGATTGGTGTTTACTTCATGACTGGTGCTATCTTTTCTGTTGATGGTGTCTGTACAAAGATCAGACTATTTCTTTGTAAAACAGTGAAACACAAGTAATCCGTATCTGAGAGAGGGCTAACACTGCTTCTTTGGTTTGTGTAAAAAAAAAAATCTCCTGGACTCAATATTCTTTACCCACAAAAGATTTTATTGCTGAATATCTCTTACAGGGAAAATTATCTTTACCACCAGAATTTTTGACATTCAGTATGATATGTCATTGTAGCCTTATAGTCTTAGCACATCATTGTTTCATACTAATCTCAAGAAGCTTATATTTCTTTTAGTACCAGGATTTATATGCTGCCATTTATTTAGAAGAAAACAGATACTGGAGGGAAAAAAATTGGAATGCATTCCATATTTGTCTGCCAAAAGAGCAGATAAACCCGTGAAACAAAGTGTGGAGCAGGTGTGAATGAACTCCAGAAGCCCTAAGGCTAGAGGGCTTCATTTATAAAGTGCTCAGCAATCAAGCCTACTTCCAGCACAGTATTTAAATGTATGCTCAACATTAAGCACACAGAGGAGTTGCACTGGGTAGCGTTTTCTGTCAAGCCTAACTGAGTAGCTACTATTCATTCCTTCCACTGCACTTACTCTGCTTTTATTTAAGGGGAAAAAAAAAAAAACAAAAACAGAAAAAGCAAACCTAAACTTCTGGAAATCTATTTAACCAAAAAGCACTGTGGCAGGTATTAATATTTGCCTCGACTGGCCAGTGGTCAGTATCAATGCCACATTCACACTAAACACATTTCATCCTGTGTCTCGGCCTCTGTGCCATCACTCAGAGCTCCCACCTCCTCAGTGGGGTTAAAGCAACTGTGAGAGGCTCATGTGTTTATCTTGGCTCATTAAGAGCAGCAGAGCTGATATGAACCTTTGCCTACTGGTTTTACAGGCAAGAGCACAAGTGCTCAAGGTTAAGACAGATCCTGAACATCAGAATCCAAACTGGTTTAGCCAAGCAGAGAGTGAGGAGATGGATATCATATGCAAATGAAAGATATAAAGGTCATCTTTCTTCTCTACCCACCACTGGAAAAGCCAGAATCTGGGCCCAGGTTTGGGTACATTTTTATGTAGATGCAGTCTAACTGCAGGCAGCTGCCAGAGGGCAAACAGGATGAATCCTAGAAAATACAAGCAGTGAGAGAAAGCTGTGGGGTTTAGGGACAGCAGTTTTAAGGAAAAATTTATCCTGGTCTCTAACATTGATGAAGGGACAAATGCCCCATCTTTAACCTCACAATTAAAACTCACCCCTATAAGTGTAAGAGTTTCTGTGACTCCAAGTCCTCAACAATTGTAACAAGGAATGGAGGCAGAATGATGCCTCATGTATCATCTTTTGCAAACAGAATGTAATCATGTATTTTGAGTGAAGATATTTTACCAGGCTTCCATAAGAACAGGCATACAGTGTAAACTCTCATTATACATGGCCCTCCAGATTATTCTCCTAGTGTCTTAACAGAGAGCCAGAGACATTTCTTACAGATCAGAATCTGCCTGAAATGGACTTGTGAATCTGGATTTCTGCTCTGCAGTTTCTTCATTCCCTTCCCTTGCAGTCTAACACAGTCCCAGTGAGGCTGCTGGAGCTGCTCACCCAGCCTGGCTCTTGGAAGCTGGAACTTTTCCAGAGCCTTTTAAGCAGAGTTCACCTCCCAGCCCTGAGCCACAGGCAAGGGAGAAGGTACTGCAGCAAACAAGCTCTGTATTTCCTTGGTTTTTCCTGATGCAACCTGTAAATTCTTCTTAAGTTAAATGCAAAATCTCCTCTCCAATAGGTATTAGTTTTCAGCTTTCTATTTCCTTAGGCAAAGGAAATAAATGTTTACTTCGGTACAAACTACTGGATCTGGAAATAGTAACAGAATAAAAACAAAGGACTTCTCATCTACTCTTCATTTATTTATTTACTGTCGTCTCTGTTTCTGTGACATAATCCATCTTTCTCTTCCTCTTCTAAAGAAAACTTCAGTTGCAGTTATTTTTCCAGAGATTGGGAATTAAAATAATGATAGCTAAATTCCTACCTAAATACAGATATGCTGTTTAGGAGCCTACTATTTGGCACTTTCACTCTATACAAAGGTCACACAAAAATGTCATGAGAGCTGGAGACTTTCCAGAACAGGATAAGTGCAGCAGCACTGATAGTGTTGAAGGCTAAAACAAAAGGGCAGGTGGTACAAATCAGCATAGAAACTGAGCACTTTGGGCTACTGCTGTCTGTAAAGCAATCTTTGGGGTCTCCAGGAGAATTTAGGGGAAATATGAACTTTTGAATCTCAAGGTCTTCTTCACGTCTTACTATAAATTAGTTTTTCTTCTTTCTTAAACTTTTTATACAGGCCAGATACTTCTGGAATGACCATCTAGGCTGAGGTACGATGTCTGTGACTCGAAATGTACTTTCACATTGACAAACAATCCATTTGCTATTTTCCTAGCTTGCGTATGGGCCTAGCCTAGAAATATTGGCAATGTGATGCTGTGCATAAATAGCATTATTTAAAGCTATCAGCTTCATCAGGCACCCACTCCAGGCAATGAAGTCCTGGCTCAGTTGAAAACACCACACTCAGATTGCTCTCCCACTGGTCACTCTTTGTGTAAGTTTGTTAACGCTCTGTCTCACCACTGTTTTCCTGCATCTCCTGAAGTGGTGGAAATTGCCTGCATGGGGTACTCATCCTCCAGTTGCTGCAGGTCTGGCACCATTCCCTGCCTCTGCCCTCTCTGACATCTGCTGGGGAAGGAGAAGAAAGCTGTCACAGCAAGAGCCCCTCTCAGCCCCTGTGCTCCCATGGGGAGCCCTGAAATAAAATGAAAGACACATCTGGACTCCATGTACCAAAGCTGTTTCCTTGGACTGAGCAGAATGTGGCAATTTGTGATAGAAAACATCTCCTGGTGATGTATAGCTAAACCTGGAATACTGGACCCTGCATCCCAGTCTTTTCCACATGGAGTGGAGCAGAGAATATAGGCTCTCCTGCAGCTTTCAACTTCTCTTGTCCATCTCTTTGAAGTTCATTTTGGGAGCAACTGTATTCCTGTAAAGTGAATTCACACACATCCAGGTGCTCAACGTTCAGACCTGCTGTTGTTTCACACAGAAACCTTGTCACCTGCTGGGACAGTGTGACTGGACAGTGAGTGTGTGGCTGGGCAGCCCTAGAAACAGCAAAGATTTGGGGAGGGGAATGGGGCTGTGCTATTAAAGCAATTGTGCTGCATAAGAAGTCCTCGCTGCTTACAGCATTTTTTCCAAGAAGCAACTGTGTTATGCTGCTAAACACTGTGCTGTTTATAAATTGCTCAACTGTGCCTTTTAAGACATTGCTACCTTGCCTAATTTTCATTTTGGATTAAAGATGTTCTGTTGCTTTCAGGAATACAAGGGAGTGAAAGGTTAGTGCTGAAGGGATAATCACTCAGAAACAAATAGGCTGATACCATGAAAAAATTGCCTTCAGAAATCCTGGAATTTAGATGTAATCAAGGTCTTTGTTAGGGAGGCAATTAGAGCATATCCTCGCCATTTCAATGAAAAATGTTGTGGTTGGATATTGGCCATCTGCTGCAGATGAGAAACACAAGAAAATGTTATTTGGATTAAAGGGCACAACAACATTGAGAATAATATTGTGCCTGAGATACTACAGAGAGGGAAAGCTGTGTTAGACAGCATTCATGCAGGATTTTCAAAGGAAAGTTTGCTTTTTTTTACCTTTCAAGAAGAAAATCAACGTTTAAACATACTTTCCTCAGATGTTATGAAAAATTTTAAAACTAAAATTAGAAGAAATGCAATCATTCAGGGATTAGGAATAGGAAGGGTGGGGTGAAAGCATTACAACTGGATTTGTTTCCAGTTTCTCAGTGAAGAATTAATAAAAATATTTTAAAATCTTTTTTATATTTGCTATAATGTGATCACCAGTATTAATCATACTATTTGTGAGAAGATGAGGGAGGAAGAAAGGGTTTTCTATTTAATTCAAACTAAACATGGTCCATGTCACACTCCCTTGGGGATAAGAATTCCTACAAGAGGTACCTGTGCCAGCAATGGGCTCAAAACCACTGCAAGGATCCATCTTGCCTTTCAAGCCCATAGATGAGGTGTCACAACTAAAGCTGCATCAGGAGACACTTACAGAGAAGCTGTGGGACATGCCTGCTTCAAGCTTGACAGAACTTAGGGTTGCTTTGGAAATCTGTGAACATAATTACGGGAAAGGGGAGGTATGTAATGTGTCTAGCTACTGTACAATACTCATACCTGCCAAAAACAGTCTCATTCATCTCAGATCCTAGTATGAATTTCCCAAGCTAAAAAATCTTTAAGTTTTACTTGGAAACTCTGCACATTTGATATGAAAAAATCTGCAGGACAGTGAAGGTAGGGCCCTCACTCTTCTTGTATCATCTCCTAGCAGATGTTTGTAGCTTTCCATGGCATTGTGTCACCTTCTTGTATCTTGTACCATACTGCATGCAGAGTTTTATAGCCTACTGAGTCCTACAGATCTGTAGGGGTAAATGCATTGTAATTCCTCTATAAGCCTCCTCTCCACATGAACAATGGGGAAAAAAAAGACTGAAAAGCAATTTGAGACTGTAAGATGCAACATTCAAGGCCCCTAATTACTCAGTCATCACAAATGTTTTAATTGCATTTAACAAGAGATAGAGCAGTTAGATTATGAAAGGTTAGGTGCATAAATGTCTGTGCTTTCCAGATAGGAACTGA